GGGGGGGACGGAATGTATTCAGGCTCAATTCTGGGAACTGGAGCACAGATCCAATTCCCTAGATCAAGAGCCCCTCACCAGCATCAAGAAACCTCCCTTGAGAGGAATACAACACAGGAAACTGTGGAAACGCCTGAAGTTTCGATGTTATCAGTACATCACCCTCAGGATGTGGGGATCAGTCCCTCAAACACAGGCATGCAGTCTGCTCTAGTAGACAAGTAAGTAAAAGATATCAAGATACCATCAACTTGGATGAAAGGACAAACATACATACACTTAGGACACCTTTATTGGGAACATTTTGGTCCTGGGACCTTGGTCACTCTGGTATGATCATGGTCCAATGAACAAGTTTCCAATAAAGACCACCACTTACCAAGGGAATGAACTGATTACATCAATACTACCAAGTCCTGTGGCTTGGTCGATAACATACTAAGCCTACATACTGAGTACCCATGGTTCGACCCCTGGCATGGGTAGAAACTGGGTGTTTCCTTACATCTACTACCCCTGTTCACCTAGCAGTAAGTAGGTACCTGGATGTTAGTCAAGTGTTGTATGGTGCATCCTGGGAAACAAAATTAAAGGACCCTAATAAAAATATGATAGTCCTGATGACACACCAACTTTACTGTTATCCTGGGTGGTAAAGATACCCAACTGTTGCACATATCTTATCTTTATTTTCCTGTACTCAACTGAAAAGCCTGTTGTACAGGTGAAATGTTTTAGTAATACAGTAAATCCTCGACTTGCAAACACATTGGGGGACCTCCTGAATTGTGTATAATAGTCTTATATACATGTAATACAAGAAGTCTTCAGCTTATGAACACGCTGGAGGACCTGTGTTGTGTATAATAAAGATTTTTTTTATTTTTTTTTTTTATTAACATATCAGCCATTTCCCACCAAGGCAGGGTGGCCTGAAAAAGAAACTTTCATCATTCACTCCATCACAGTCTTGCCCGAGACTGCAACATTAACACCCTTCCTTCAGAGTGCCGGTACTGTACTTCCTATCTCTAGGAATCAAGTCCAGCCTGCCAGTTTCCCTGAATCCCTTCATAAGTGTTACCTTGCTTACACTCCAACAACACATCAAGTCCTAAGAACCATTTGTCTCCATTTGCTTCTAACACGCTCACGTGTGTTTGCTGGAAGTCCAAGCCCCTCACACACAAAACCTCCTTTACCCTCTCCCTCCAACCTTTTCTAGGCTGACCCCTACCCAGCCTTCCCTCCATTACAGATTTATACACTCTCGAAGTCATTCTATTTTGTTCCATCCTTTCTACATGTCCAAACCATCTTGCTAACCCCTCCTCAGCCCTCTGGATAATAGTTTTGGTAATCCCACACCTCCTCCTAATCTCTACACTATGGATTCTTTGCATTATATTCACACCACACATCACCCTCAGACATGACATCTCCATTGCCTCCAGCCATCTCCTTGTTGTAACATTCACAACCCATGCGTTACACCCATACAAGAGCGTTGGTATAACTATACTCTCATACATTGCTCTCTTCGCTTTTATAGATAAAGTTTTGTCTCCACAGACTCCTCAGTGCACCACTCACATTTTTCCCCTTGTCAATTTTATGATTCACCTCATCCTTCTCAGACCCATCTGCTGACACATCCACTCCCAAATATCTGAACACACTCGCCTCCTTCATACTCTCTCGCTCCAATCTCGTATTAAATCTTCCGTTACCTAAGTTTTTTGTCCTCATCACCTTACTCTTTCCTATATTCACTTTTAATTTCCTTCTTTTACATACCCTACCAAACTCATCAACCAACCTCTGCAACTTCTCTTCAGAATCTCCCAAAAGCACAGTGTCATCAGCAAAGAGCAACTGTGACAACACCCACTTTGTGTTAGATTCTTTATCTTTTAACCCCACACCTCTTGCCAACACCCGAGCATTCACTTCTCTTAGGACTCCATCTATAAATATATTGAACAACCATGGTGACATCACACATCCCTGTCTAAGGCCTACTTTTACTGGGAAATAATCTCCCTCTCACCTACATACTTTAACCTGAGCCTCACTATCCTCGTAAAAACTTTTTACAGCTTTCAATAACCTACCTCCTATTCCATACATTTGCAACATTTACAACATCTGCCACACTGCCCCCTATGCACCCTATCATATGCCTTTTCCAAATCCATAAATGCCACAAAAACCTCTTTACCCTTATCTAAATACTGTTCACCTATGTTTCACTGCAAACACTTGGTCTACACACCCCCTACCCTTCCTAAAGCCTCCTTGTTCATCTGCTATCCTGCTCTCAGTCTTATTCTTAATTCTTTCAATAATAACTACAATACACTTTACCAGGTATGCTCAACAGACTTATTCCCCTATAATTTTTACACTCACTTTTGTCCCCTCTGCCTTTATACAAAGGAACTCTGCAAACTCTCTGCCAATCCGTAGATACCTTACCCTCTTCCATACATTAAATAAAAACGCTAACCACTCCAAAACTATATTCCCCCCTGTGAACATTTCTATCTTTATCCCATCAATCCCAGCTGCTTTACCCCCTTTCATTCTACTCACTGCCCCATGCACTTCCCCCACACCCACAACTGGTTCTTCCTCACCCCTACAAGATGTTATTCCTCCTTGTCCTATACATGAAATCACAGCTTCCCTATCTTCATCAACATTTAACATTTCCTCAAAATATTCTCTCTATCTTTGTGATACCTCTAACTCTCCATTTAATAACTCTCCTCTCCTATTTTTAACTAACAAATCCATTCTTTCCCTAGGCTTTCTCAGCTTATTAGTCTCACTCCAAAACTTTCTTATTTTCAAAAAAATTTGTCAATAACATCTCACCCACTCTTTTATTTGCTCTCTTTTTACACTGCTTCACCACTCTCTTAGCCTCTTTCTCTCCATATACTCCTCCCTCTCTGCATCATTTCTGCTTTGTAAAAACCTCTCATATGCTAACTTTTTCTCCCATATTACATCTTCATTCCACCAATCACTCTTCTTCCCTTCCACACCCTCTTTCCTGTAATCATGAACTTCTGCTGAACACTAACACTATATTCTTAAACTTGCCCCATACATCTTCTACCCCATTACCTATAAAGTTTTTCCATTTCCTTGTTTTTAGTAGTTTATACAGAAGGGGTTACTAGCCCACTGCTCCTGGCATTTAGATGCCTCCCACAACACACAGCTCAAGGAGGAAGAATTTTGTTCCACTTCCCCATGGAGATAAGCAAAAATAAACAAGAACAAGAACTAGGAAGAAAGTAGAAAACTCTGAGAGGTTAGTATATATATGCCTGTACATGCATGTGTAATGTGACCTAAGTGTAAGTAGAAGTAGCAAGACATACCTGCAACCTTACACGTTTATGAGACAGAAAAAGACACCAGCAATCCTACCATCATACAAAACAATTACAGGCTTGTGTTTCACACTCATTAGGCAGGACGGTAGTACCTCCCTGGGTGGTTGATGTCTACCAACCTACTACACAATATTATAATGGTATAAACCTTGGTAATAAATACCGACAAGTTGGTTTAGAAAGACACGCAAGCAAACACTAACATATTTATTAGAAAACGTTTCGGTCCTGGGACCTTGATCACTTCTAATATACAGAGGTAGAAAGACATTATATATATAGGCGGAGAGTGAGATGTGACGCACGTGACCTGAGGAATGTCATAAGAACATAAGAATGGAGGAACACTGTAGAAGGCCTACTGGCCCAGAGACTCCACGGGGCATTTGATGAACTGGAACGAGGCACAACTCGTTCTCACCTAACCAGACCTCAGACGCCGACAGTGCCTAGAAGCCTCACTAATCGCTGTCACCGACACTATAGAACGCAACACTGGAAACTACAAAATTTCAAAAACATTGGCATACATGATACTTAAGCAGCACCAACCCAACAACACAGGAGTCACATGATTTCATCGTCTACCCATCCTCATCATAGGTAGAGGTTGTTTTGATAAGGACTTGCCTTGCATGGGCCAGTAGGCCTTCTACAGTGTTCCTCCATTCTTATGTTCTTATGACATTCCTCAGGTCACGTGCGTCACATCTCACTCTCCGCCTATATATATAATGTCTTTCTACCTCTGTATATTAGAAGTGATCAAGGTCCCAGGACCGAAACGTTTTCTAATAAATATGTTATAGTGTTTGCTTGCGTGTCTTTCTAAACCAATATTATAATAAACAATATTAAACAATACAGAGAATTCTTAACGTGTTCATAAGTCGATGACTTACTGTTTACCTGGAGAGAGTTCCGGGGGGTAACGCCCCCGCGGCCCGGTCTGTGACCAGGCCTCCTGGCGGATCAGAGCCTGATCAACCAGGCTGTTACTGCTGGCTGCATGTAATCCAACATACGAGCCACAGCCCGGCTGGTCAGGTATCGACTTTAGGTGTTGTAGAGACCCAAGTGTTGCACATAATTAAGTGCTAGACAAGGACCCCCAGTGGAATGTCATTTTTGGGGGGCTATCCTGGTGGGTAATTTCCATATGTTACCATGTAGGTTAATTGTATTTATTTGGATCTGTACCTAAATAAAGTTATGGGCAGCAGGGACCCCAAAATGGAAACAAATAACTGACTTTTTTTTTTATATTACCTTAGGTAATGTACACATATGTTACTTATATATGATAATTTGTGTAACTATGTGTACCTGTACTTAAATGAATTACTTAACGGTGAAATTTATCCACAAGTCTTGAATAGTTACCATAAATCCGCGTATTTTCGGTCGAGATAATGGTCCTAGTAACAGCTTTTCCTGCTATGAATCAAATGCCATCGATGCTCAATATTATTATTAGACCAACTGGAGAGCATTAACCCGCCTGCCAGCAGCCACAAACTTGTTTCTGACATAACATAAAATATAACAATACTGATTTGCAATACTCTACGTTATGTTAAGTTCACTTACCATCAGTGTTGTGCTCAAGCACGAACTTTTGGCCACAACCCTTGTTATAACACTGCACCGTAGTCATGTTCGAGAGGATTGATTATAAAGGTGTGCGTGTGTGAGCTCTAGGAGCACAAAAGTAGCTCATACAGCTTCAGGAGAGTATTGTAATGTGTTGGACACACTTCGCGTCACTCGCCATGAAAACATTGGTCTTCCTGTGTCCCAACCTGTGAGTCACATTTCCACTCACAATATTTAATTTTCATCTTTTAAAACAAGTATATTGCTAAACTATATAAACATATGTGGTACTTTGAATTATACAAACAAATTAACCAGCATCCTAACTTTATCCTTTTAATTAATCCTAAAATTAATGCTGAAGTCAAAGCCAAATGCAAAATAAAATGAATGACGGGAAACATGCGCAACGCCAAAACTTACCAGAATATTCTAGACTGTTTATTTATATTAGTGTTTCTTGACTTACTGGTGCTATATTTACATCACATCATTTATCTTACGCATATCTTAATAATATCCCATGAATTAAAAAATAATAAATATTATAATTATTTAATGTAATGTATGGGAAGAAACACGTGGTGGACCTCACTTATTATGGTCAAATTTCTTACATTTTTAGGACGGTTTTGAATAAAAGAAAATTATACCACATACAAAGGTAAATAATATCATGCAGGTAGAGTAATATGATCATCAGTGTTTTAACACCAGAGAGACAAGCTGCCACCAGCCATGGCGTTAAAGTTGCAGCTCAAATGTTATGGGGAAATGTAAAAATAAGTCTATCTGGGCGCTGCCACACCCCGGTACATGTTTTCTTTGTTAATTATAAAGAAATGGTTAAAATTATGAAGATAATTTTTAAAGGGGTGGACTGGTAAGCCAGCGGAAGGCCTCGGTCAGATGACCAAAGGCTCCAGATGGGGGTCATCATATGACTAAGACCAGCTTCAGGAAACACTTGTCCTATTTCCTGACGAATCTTACCTTGTTAATTATCGTCTATCACCTTTAATACATCTATAATACCTGTACCTAAATAAACTTATACTACACATAAATCACACACAATAAATCATACACATAAATCATACACCACAAATGAGGTAGTTGAAGTTCTATCAATAAAGATCGAGAACCAAAACCTAGTCATTGTGGTTGTATATAAGCCACCAGATGCAACCTCCCAACAGTTCAAGGAACAGCTACTGAAAATTTATTACTGTCTGGAAAACCTTCCAGCTCCATCCCCAAACATCTTACTGCTTGGTGATTTCAACCTACGGGGATTGTTTCAGCTATAACATTATTTGCTACATTCTTCCATTTTGTTTACCTGGACCTGGAGTTTACCTGGAGAGAGTTCCGGCGTTGACCCCCGGAACTCTCTCCAGGTAAACTCCAGGTCCAGGTAAACAAAATGGAAGAATGTAGCAAATAATGTTATAGCTGAAACAATCCCCGGAGGTAACGCAGATGAAAGGTCACACACACATAACTACTAAGCCTCTGCGAAAAACACACCTTAAGCCAGCAGATAGTGGAGCCAACAAGACTAGAAAACACACTTTACCTTATCTTCACAAATAATGAGGACCTGAAAATAATGAGGACCTGATAAGAGACATAAGAATATCAAAAACAACTAATTCCGATCACAGCCTAATCGAAGTCCAGACGTACATGCATAGGGGTCCTGATCAGCAGAATGCATGTACCTGTGAAGGTGTCTTCACAAAAATACATCTTCAACAACAAGAACATCAACTGGGATCAGGTAAACCATGTCCTAAACGAAACATGTTGGGAAGATGTCTTAAATGACATGGATCCAAACCAGTGCCTTGAAAAGATCAACTTCCTGGCAGCTGAAGCATGTCCTAGGCATATTCCCCTAAGAAAGAAGAAGAGCAGGAGTAAACTGGAGAGAGAAAGACACTCCCTCTACAGAAGACGATGAAGAGTCACTGAGCTCCTCAGGAGTGCTAGAATATCTGAATACCTGAATAAACTTACTTACACGAAAGGAGGCGCTGACCAGGGAAGTGGAAACTATCGAACTTAAGTTAAATGACTCTTACAGGAACCAGGAGAGACAGGAGGAGCTTAAAGCTATTAGTGAAATTTAAAGAAATTCAAAATATTTCTTTTCATTTGCCAAAAACAAGGCAAATACCACATCTAGTATCGGGCCCTTACTCAGACAGGATGGGACTTACACAGATGACAACAAGGAAATGAGTGAAATATTGAAATCCCAGTATGACTCTGTGTTTAGTGAACCACTAATCAGTCTGAGGATCGACGACCAAAATGATTTCTTCATGAATGAGCCTCAAAACTCTATAAATGTATGCCAGATTTCCGACATTACTCTAACTCCGATAGATTTCAAAAAAGCCATTGACAACATGCCCATGCACTCAGCCCCGGGCCCAGACTCGTGGAACTCTGTATTCATTAAGAACTGCAAGAAACCCCTCTCGTGTGCCCTAAGTACACTATGGAGGAGGAGCTTGGACATGGGTGAAATTCCACAGTCACTTAAAACAACGGATATAGCCCCACTCCATAAAGGTGGCAGCAAAGCATTAGCTAAGAACTATAGACCAATAGCTCTGACGTCCCACATCATAAAAATCTTTGAAAGAGTGCTAAGAAGCAGGATTGCAAATCACCTGGATTCCCAAAATCTGCACAATCCAGAGCAACATGGGTTCAGGGCAGGTCGCTCCTGCCTCTCACAACTACTGGATCACTATGATATGGCCTTGGATGCACTGGAAGAAAATCATAATGCAGATGTAATATACACAGACTTTGCAAAAGCATTTGACAAATGCGATCATGGTGTAATAGCCCATAAAATACGTGCTAAAGGAATAACTGGGAAAGTGGGGAGATGGATCTTCAACTTCCTAACAAATCGAACACAAAGAGTAGTGGTCAACAGAGTTAAATCGGAGGCTGCCATAGTGAAGAGCTCTGTTCCACAAGGCACAGTACTCGCCCCCATCTTATTTCTCATCCTCATATCAGACATAGACAGAGATATACATCACAGCACCGTATCATCCTTTGCGGATGATACTAGGATCTGCATGAGGCTGTCATCTGCCATCTGCTGAGGACGCGGTTAACCTCCAAGAAGATATAAACAAAGTTTTCCAGTGGGCAACGGTAAATAATATGATGTTCAATGAGGACAAATTCCAACTACTCTGTTATGGAAAACTGGAGGAGATAATAACTAGAACAGAGTATACTACAGACTCTGGCCATACAATAGAGCGGAAAAATAATGTAAGGGACCTGGGAGTAGTAATGTCTGATGATCTCACTTTCAAGGATCACAACATTGCCACGATCGCACGTGCAAAGAAAATGATAGGATGGATAATGAGAACGTTCAAAACGAGAGATGCCAAGCCAATGATGATCCTTTTCAAATCACTTGTTCTCTCTAGGTTGGAATACTGCTGTACATTAACATCTCCTTTCAAAGCAGGTGAAATCGCAGATCTAGAGAGTGTACAGAGATCCTTTACTGCACGTATAAGTTCTGTCAAGCACCTTAACTACTGGGAACGCTTGGAAGCACTTGACTTGTACTCGTTGGAACGCAGGAGAGAGAGATATATCATAATCTACACTTGGAAAATCCTGCACACAGAAATCACTCCCTACGAAAGTAAAAGATTGGGCAGGCGATGCAAAATGCCCCCAATTAAAAGTAGGGGCGCCATTGGTACACTAAGGCAAATACCATAAGTGTCCGGGGCCCAAGACTGCTCAACAGCCTCCCATCAAGCATTAGGGGAATTGCCAATAAACCCCTGGCTGCCTTCAAGAGAGAGCTGGACAGATACCTAAAGTCAGTGCCGGATCAGCCGGGCTGTGGCTGGTACGTTGGTTTGCGTGCAGCCAGCAGCAACAGCTTGGTTGATCAGGCTCTGATCCACCAGGAGGCCTAGTCACAGACCGGGCCGCGGGGGCGTTGACCCCCGGAACTCTCTCCAGGTAAACTCCAGGTAAACTCCAGTGGGTATATAAAGGCTCAGAGTGACGTGTAATACTAGTGAGGTACCATTTCGATGTTAACTAGTGGTAGTAGTAGTATAGTAGTAGTAGTAGTAGTAGTAGTGGTAGTGGTAGTGACAAAAGTAATACAATATGGTAGAGCAATTAATTCGTACATGAGTAAAAGGATATAAGAGCTATTACTTGGGTAACATAAAAATAGGTTGGACAAATATAGACTGGAATGAGGCAGCTTGTTTCAGTGTTCACTCTCTGTGCTTTGTGTAGTATAACAGGAGAGACTATGTGATGGCAGGGTTTACTGTTTTCAGAAGGATTCTTGCTAAGACTTCGGAGATGGTGAAGCTGCCGTTGTTTTGTTTAATTGTATTCGAAACAGCGATCAGTGCTGATTCGAGGCACTTGCGTCTGCGGAAATTAGTTTCTTTGATCACTAATTGGGCGTCTCTGAATTTCATGAGATGATTGGTGGAATTTCGGTGTTGTACACAGGCGTTGTTCAGGTTATCGTTCCTACATGCGTAAATGTGTTCATTGAGGCGGGTGTCGAGGTTTCTGGCTGTTTCACCTACGTAAATCTTGTCACAGCCTCCACAGGGTATAGTGTAAACTCCTGCATTGACTGGTTTCGTGGTGCTTGGATTTTGTCCTGGTTATATCCTTTATTGAAGTGCTAGAAGCGATGGCGACTCTGTGTTAGCTTGTGAAAGTACTTTTGAGACGTTCAGTGCAACCTGACTGTTTGGGAAGAATTATAACTTTGCTGGGAGTGGTGTTGATGCGTGGAGAATTTATGATCTGAAGAGCTTTTTTCTTGCAGTCTTTGATGAAAAAAGAAGGAAAATGTAACTCTGTGAATGTTTGGTGAATGTATGTACACTCCTCGTCAAGAAACTCAGGACTACAAATTCGGTATGCTCTTAGGAAAAACCCGATGATGATGCCTCTTTTGGTCTTGGTATCTTGACTGGAATAGAAGTGTGTGAGATCATTTTTATTGGTGGGTTTCCGATAAACTTGAAATCTTAGGTTTTTGTCTACTTGTGAATGAGGACGTCGAGGAAAGGTAGCTTGTCATTGGACTCTTCTTCTAATGTAAACTGGATCGCCGGTTCAACTGCGTTGAGCCTTGCCTGAAGATCCCGTACATCAAAACGT